AGTCATGACTAAAGCTGTGGATGATGCTTTCCCCACTTCAACTGAAGGCAGTTCAAGCCAGGCGAAAAATCAGGATGGGCCCCGTCATGCCAAGACAATTCCTGTCATTCCCATCCCTGCACCAGGAAAAGATCAGAAAGCCAAGGCAGTGCCTGCCGACCCTTTAGCTAGTGCATCTAGCAAGAACCCTTAGACTTCGAAGTACCTACCTCGAGGGCGTAAAGTTTTTCACGCCCTCTACATGCCTTTGTCTAGGGCATTTCAAATTTTGGCTAAAAAGGGGCATCTTAAGCTTCTCGAGCCTCGGCCTCTCCTGAAGAATCTCCCTCTCTCACATGATGCTACCTTGTACTGCGCGTACCACCAACAGTCCGGCCACAGCACCGATGGTTGTTTTTGCCTTCGTCATGAAGTGCAGGATTTGATCGACAATGAGGTCATCCTCCCACCTACCTCAGCAAAGTCTGTCACTACTGAGTTATTGGACTTCGAGGATACTACAAGTATGTGATCGACATACAACAATAGGATAACGAAGTTTCCATCCGAAAACCTGCGGAAATATACACATTGGTCTGCCACCGTTCTTGTGTACTCGTGATCCACCATAAATGAATCAAACTTCTTATACCATTATCTCGGCGCCTGTTTCAGGCCGTATAGACTCTTCTTCAGTTTGCAAACTAGATTCTGTTTTCCTTTAACTTCAAATCCTTCTGGTTGCTCCATGTAGATCTCTTCCTGCAACTCACCATGGAGAAAGGCAGTCTTGACATCTATTTGTTCTACTTCCAGATTTAAGCGAGCTGCTAATCCCAGAGCTACTCGAATAGAAGTCATCTTCACAACTGGTGAGAAGATCTCATCAAAATCAATTCCTTTCTTCTGCCCAAAGCCTTTGACCACCAAACGAGCTTTATGCTGTAATTGTTTACCGTTTTCATCTTTCTTTAACTTATACACCCATTTGTTTTTCAAGGCTCTCCTATCTCTTGGAAGTGGAACAAGCTCATAAGTGTGGTTTTTCTGCAAAGAACTCATCTCCTCCTTCATGGCTTGTATCCAACAGTCTTTCTCTGTATGACTCTTGGCTTCCGAAAAACTCTCGGGCTCTCCCTCATCAGTAATCAGAATATACTGAGAAGCGGGATATTTGGTTGATGGCACGGCAACTCTTCCAGTTCTCCGCAACTGAATCCCAGTTGCCTCTGTTTGAGGGGGTTGCTCCCCCTGCTCAACACCCTCTTCATCCGGGTTTTCATCTCTTTCCTCCTGATCCTCAATTTCTGGCATAGGATCCTGCAACTTTGGCACTTCTTGTTGCGCATCATCACATCTAGCATTTTGTGATGGCTTGGGAGATGGAAACAAGTCTAGAGTGATGACATCTCTGGACTTTGTAGATTTCTCAAAATCTGTTACTGTCTGGTCTTCTTGGAACACAACATCTCTGCTCCTGAACATCTTCTTGTTCGCTGGGTCCCACACCTTGTACCCAAATGCTGCATATGAATAGCCCACAAATATGCATGGAGTGGACTTGTCATCAAGCTTCTGTCTGTTTTCCTTAGAGATGTGTGCAAAGGCCTTACACCTGAAGACTCTCAAGTGAGAATATGATACCTTTCTTCTGGACTTCCTAAGGTATCGCAAAATTCAACGGGACTGAAGGCGACCTATTGATGAGATAACAGGCTGTACGGGCGGCTTCAGCCCAGAATGACTTTGGCAACTTTGCCATTTTGAGCATACATCTGACTCTTTCCATAATAGTGTGGTTCATTCTTTCTGCCACACCATTGTGTTGTGGGGTGCCGGGAACTGTTGTCTCGTGCCGGATACCTCTGCTGGCACAGTATGCTGCAAAAGCATTGGAAGTGTACTCGCCTCCATTGTCTGTGCGAAGACACTTTAACTTCTTCCCAGTCTCTCTTTTTACCATTGCATGGAACTCCTGAAGGTGCTGAAATACCTCATCCTTTTTCTTCAGGAAATGCACCCACAACTTCCTTGATGCATCATCAATGAAAGTTAGAAAATACTTGTGACCGCCATGTTACTCCACTTCGATTGGGCCACAAACATCCGAGTATACCATATTGAGCACTTCTGTTTTCCTCTTTCTCGTTGAACTGAATGATACTCGATGTTGCTTGCCATAAAGGCAATGATCACACGGCTTCAAAGCACTCACTTTGGATAAGGGTATTCTGGATTGCTTTGCCAATAGATGCAATCCCTTCTCACTCATGTGAGCCAGTCTTCTGTGCCATAAGTCCGGTGACTCCTTGTCTTCTGCTGCGTTAAGACTTTCCAAACAGATCTTCGTTTGAGTCTTATGCAGTGTTGAAGACATCTCTCCTCTGGCGATTGTCAAAGCTCCTCCTATCAGCTTCCAATGGCCATTTCCGAATGTACTTGTATAGCCCTGTCGGTCTAGGGCACTTCCGGAGATAAGATTGAGGCGCAAATCTGGAACATGCCTCACATCTTTGAGAACCAGCTTGTTCCCGACATTAGTTTGAATACTAATGTCTCCAATACTCACAATCTTCGAATAGCTAGAATTCCCCATTCAAACAGTGCCAAAATCTCCAGCGTTGTACAAGCTGAAGAGTTCTCTGTGGGAAGTGGCGTGCTAGGATGCAGCTGTGTCTATCACCCATTCTGTGTAGCTGTGGTCAGCCACGTGAAGGCAATCTTCCTCTTCACCAACTGCAAGAAGTATTTCATCAGTTGTTGTGGCTGTTGTGTTCTCATCTCCTTTTGACTTACTGCTTTGGCCTTTCTCTTTCCGGCTTGGGCAGTATCTCTTTATGTGACCCTCCTAGCCATAGTGATAGCAAGTGAAGCTGGAGTTACCTTGACCTTTGTTGTCTCTGGATTTACTCCTGTTGTTCCAGCTGCCTCTACTCTTGCTTCTTCCTCTACCTCTTCTTTTACCTCTGTCTCTGCCTTTATCTTCTGTGACAAGAGCATGGGACTGATTATGGGGCTGATTACCTCCCATGTCTTTCCTTCTTGTTTCTTTATTATACATGGCGTCCGTGACCATACTCATGGTCAGTTTCCCTTCTGGTGTAGTGGTGCTGAGAGAAACCACCAATGTCTCCCAGCTGTCCGGTAAAGAATTAAGCAGTAGTATGGCTTGCATTTCATCGTCCAATCGTATCTTGACGGTTGTAAGTTGATTCACCAGATTTTTGAATTCACTGGTGTGCTCGGCGATAGACACACCATTCTTCAACTTCAGATTTACTAGCCTTCTCATCACCAAGGCTTTGTTTCGGGCGGTCATTGACTGGTACATGTCGTTTAACATTGTCCAAAGAGTATAGGCATCTGTCTCTTCGGCAACATGATGGAACACACCGTGGTCTATCCATTGTCTAATATAAGCGATAGTCTTGCGGTTCATCTTTATCCAGTCATCATCTTTCATTCCTTCAGGTTTAACCCTTTTTATAAAAATGGGGTCAAACAAGTCCTTTAAAAACAGGATGTCTTCCAAATTGCATAGTTAGAAGGAGTTAACTTGAACATAGATTCTGAAGTTGATGTGGACGCCTCCATGGTATTCTGTCTTTTTACAGAAAAATTTGAATGAAAAATCTAACCGAACGGATGTGTCCGGAATATTCACAATAGACAAAAAACACTATTGGATCATCAAAAACGGACTCAGAATGGCTCTGATTAAGCCAAAACAGTTTACACAGTTCAGATCTGCAGAATCTGGTGTGCTTGCGTAGCACCGGATGATTTTTGCGGCTTCGCTGAGTCAATGACTCAATCAAAAAGCTAGTTAACGCCGCTTGGAAGTGGCGCGGCTGGTCAACGGTGCGGCTCACAGCTCGGTCATCGGCTTGGTCAGCCTGATGATGTGGGTGCCACGTGTCTGCCACGCATCTGCCTGCCACGTGGCGCTGACGTGGTGCTGACGTGGTGCTGACGTGGCGATGACGTGGCGCTACCATGGCGATGACGTGTCGATGACGTCGCGCCACGTGGTCGTCTTCCCCCTTACACCGCGCGTGATGGCGCGTGCATGCGTCTGAGATGACACGCCGGCTGTTGTTCGGCGCGCGGATGGCGCGTGCATGCGTCTGAGATGACACGCCGGCTGTTGTTCGGCGCGCGGGGCTTACTCGCTTTATTTGGGAGGCGCGTTCGGGCGCGTGTGAGCTCTTCTAGAGCTCTGCTTTGCAGTTCTGGACTCCTCTCGTTGAGACCTTGCTCCTGGTATGCTCAAAATCAGATTTCAAGCAACTTGATTTCTGGGCAGTTTCGAAAAACACTCTGTTTTTGTTCTGAAATGCAACCGATTCGGCTTCGATACCACTTGTTAGGACTATTAGACACCAGAAATCAATTCCACACAATAACACACGAATATTTACGTGGTTGGGCAATTGCCTACGTCCACGGAGAGCGATATATTATCCGGAGAAAGATTACAGAACTCTCTCACATAACGCTCTCACATACCCTCTTACACTTGGTGTTCTTTCTGTGTTGCTGCCTATTTTCTCTCCTCTCAGCCTCTCCATTTATACACATAGATGGTAGGTGAGGAGAGGCAGCCTTCATCTTCTCCTTTCGCTGCTCGTCGAAAACCGTCCACCTTTGCGGCTTGCCAACCGACAAGCCGCATTCCATGACAAGCAATGCCATGCTTTCACATGGAGAAGTTGAATGGTCTTCTTATGAGCTGGAGCTAACAATAATTAGAGTAATTAATTAGCATGTTGTGAGACCCATTTTCTATTCCATCCACATACCTTGTAAATGAAATACAAAATGGGTCTACACCATTGATCTCCGTAGAACTAATGGTTTAGATGGTATGTGTAGTTTAGGATATAATTAGAACAAGTGATGTGTGGATTGAGAACAAAATTATAAAATCAATTTCATAAGTGTGTGCATTGAAAAATTATGTACACTGAGATAAAGAATTTGTGGAAATAGAATTTCCCCAAAGTTTGGTGGTGGGTTACCTTGCCACACCACGGTACTTAGAAACACCGCTGGAAAATCCGCTGCTTTGGCGCCGTAAGGAAGCCAAATACTCTTGCTTGGACTGCTTTTGCATTTCCCCAAGTTCCTTGGTGTATGTATCAATCTGTATTTTAAGCAAATATTTTATAATAAAAAAATAAATAAATTGTTAGCTGAAAATAATTCATGCATAACTAAGATTAACTACAAACTTGCTTAGCAAAATTTAAAAAGATAGAAGTGTGACAAGGAAGAAGAAAAATAGTATCGAAAAATTCAATGCAGTATCGACCCCCCAATACTTAAGGGCCGCAAGATCGTAAGTATGAGTAGCTGAAGGAGTTAACTCGAACATAGATTCTGAAGTTGATGAGGACGACCCCATCGCATTTTTTCTTTTTACAAAAAAATCCGAATGAGAATTCTAACCATACAGATATGTTCGGAATACTCCAAATAGTCAAAAAACACTATTGGATCATCAAAAACGGACTCAAAATGGCTCTGATTAAGCTAAAACAGTTTACACGGTTCAGAAATGCGAAATCTGGTGCGCTTGCGAAGCACCGGGTGATTTCCACCGTTTGGCTGAGTCAACGGCTCAGTCAAATAGCTGGTCAATGATGCTTGGAAGCGGCGCGGCTGGTCAACGGCGTGGATGACAGCTCGGTCGGCGGCTTGGCCTGCCAGATGACGTGGCTGCCACGTGTCTGCCACGCGTCTGCCTGCCACGTGGCACTGAAGTGGTGCTAACGTGGCGATGATGTGTCGATGACGTGGTGCCACGTGGTCGTCTTCCCCTTTACTCCGCGCATGATGGCGCGTGCATACATCGGAGATGATGCGCAGGCTGCTGTTCGGGGCGTGACGGCGCGTGGTGTGCGTAGGGCATACTCGCTTTATTTAGGAGGCGCGTTCGGGCTCGTGTGAGCTCTTCTGGAGCTTTGCCTTGCAGTTCTGGACTCCTCTCGTTGAGACCTTGCTCCGGGTATGCTCAAAACCAGATTTCAAGCAACTTGATTTTTGGGCAGTTTCGAAAAACTCTCTATTTTTGTTCCGAAACGCAACCGATTCGGCTTCGATACCACTTGTTAGGACTATTGGACACCAGAAATCAATTCCACACAATAACACAAGAATATTTACGTGGTTCGGTAATTGCCTACATCCACGGAGAGCGATATATTATCCGGAGAAAGATTACAGAACTCCCTCACATAACGCTCTCACATACACTCTCACACTTGGTGTTCTCTCTATGTTGCTGGCTATTTTCTCTCCTCTCAGCCTCTCCATTTATACACATAGATGGTAGGTGAGGAGACCCAGCCTTCATCTTTTCCTTTCAGTGGTCGTCGAAATCCGTCCACCTTTGCGGCTTGCCAACCGACAAGCCACATTCCTTGACAAGCAATGCCATGCTTTCACATGGAGAAGTTGAATGGTCTTCTAATGAGCTGGAGCTAACAATAATTGGAGTAGTTAATTAACATTTTGTGAGACCCATTTTCTATTCCATCCACATACCTTGTAAATGGAATACAAAATGGGTCTACACCATTGATGTCCGTGGAACTAATGGTTTAGATGGTATGTGTAGTTTAGGATATAATTAGAACAAGTGATGTGTGGATTGAGAACAAAATTATAAAATCAATTTCATAAGTGTGTACAGTGAAAAATTATGTACATAGAGATAAAGAGTTTGTGGAAATAGAATTTCCCCAAAGTTTGGTGGTGGGTTACCTTGCCACACCACGGTACTTAGAAACGCCCCTGGAAAATCCACTGCTTTGGTGCCGTAGGGAAGCCAAATACTCTTCCTTGGACTGCTTTTGTATTTCCCCAAGTTCCTTGGTGTATGTATCAATCTGTATTTTAAGCAAATATTTTATAATTAAAAAATAAATAAACTGTTAGCTGAAAATAATTCATGCAAAACCAAAATTAAGTAGAAACTTGCTTAGCAAAATTTAAAAATATAGAAGTGTGACAAGGAAGAAGAAAAATAGTACCGGAAAATTCAATGCAATATCGGCCCCCCAATACTTAAGGGCCGCAAGATCGAAGGTATGAGCAGCTGAAAGAGTTAACTTGAACATATATTCTGAAGTTGATGTGGACGACTCCATCGTATTCTGTCTTTAACAGAAAAATCCAAATGAAAAATCTGACCGTACGGGTGTGTCCGGAATACTCGAAATAGTCAAAAAAACATTATTGGATCATCAAAAACGGATTCAGAATGGCTCTGATTAAGCCAAAACAGTTTACACGGTTCAGATCTGTGGAATCTGGTGCACTTGCGAAGCACCGGATGATTTCCACGGTTTGGCTGAGTCAACGGCTCAGTCAAAAAGCTGGTCAACGCCGCTTGGACGCGGCGCGGCTGGTCAACGGCGTGTCTCACAGCTTGGTCAGCGGCTTGGTCAACCTGATGACGTGGTTGCCACGTGTCTGCCACGCGTCTGCCAGCCACGTGTGCTGACGTAGCGCTGACGTTTCGCTGACATGGGGCCACGTGGTCGTCTTCCCCCTTACGTCGCGCGTGATGGCGCGTACGTGCGTCTGAGATGATGCGCTAGCGGCTGTTCGGCGCGTGGTGCGCGTGGGGCTTACTCGCTTTATATGAGAGGCGCGTTCGGGTGCGTGTGAGCCCTTCTGGAGCTCTACTTTGCAGTTCTGGACAACTCTCGTTGAGACCTTGGTCTTGGCATGCTCAAAACTAGATTTCAAGCAACTTTATTTCTGGGCAGTTTCGAAAAACCCTCTGTTTTTGTCCTGAAACGCAACCGATTCGGCTTCGATACCACTTGTTAGGACTATTGGACATGAGAAATCAATTCCACACAATAACACAAGAATACTTACGTGGTTCGGAAATTGCCTACGTCCACGGAGAGCGATATATTATCCGGAGAAAGATTACAGAACTCTCTCACATAATGCTCTCACATACCCTCTTACACTTGGTGTTCTCTTTGTGTTGCTGCTTATTTTCTCTCCTCTCAGCCTCTCCATTTATACACATAGATGGTAGGTGAGGAGAGGCAGCCTTCATCTTCTCCTTTCGCTGCTCGTCGAAAAACGTCCACCTTTGCGGCTTGCCAACCGACAAGCCGCATTCCTTGACAAGTAATGCCATGCTTTCACATGGAGAAGTTGAATGGTCTTCTTATGAGCTGGAGCTAACAATAATTGGAGTAATTAATTAGCATTTTGTGAGACCCATTTTCTGTTCCATCCACATACCATGTAAATGGAATAAAATATGTGTCTACATCATTGATCTCCGTGGAACTAATGGTTTAGATGGTATGTGTAGCTTTGGATATAATTAGAACAAGTGATGTGTGGATTGAGAACAAAATTATAAAATCAATTTCATAAGTGTGTGCATTGAGAAATTATGTACACAGAGATAAAGAGTTTGTGGAAATATAATTTCCCCAAAGTTTGGTGGTAGGTTATCTTGCCACACCACGGTACTTAGAAACGCCCCTGGAAAATCTGCTGCTTTGGTGCCGTAGGGAAGCCAAATACTCTTCCTTGGACTGCTTTTGCATTTCCCCAAGTTCCTTGGTGTATGTATCAATCTGTGTTTCAGCAAATATTTTATAATAAAAAAAAATAAATTGTTGAAAATAATTCATGCATAACTAAAATTAATTACAAACTTGCTTAGCAAAATTTAAAAAGATAGAAGTGTGACAAGGAAGAAGAAAAATAGTACCGGAAAATTCAATGCAGTATCGGCGCCCCAATACTTAAAGGCCGTAAATCGTAGGTATGAGCAGCTGAAGGAGTTAACTTGAACATAGATTCTGAAGTTGAGGTGGACGCCTCCATCGTATTCTGTCTTTTTACAAAAAAATCCGAACGAAAAATCTGACCGGACGGGAGTGTTCGGAATACTCCAAATAGTCCAAAAACACTAATGGATCATCAAAAACAGACTCTGAATGGCCCTAATTAGGCCAAAACAGTTTACACGGTTCAGATCTGCGGAATCCGGTGCACTTGCGAAGCACCGGATAATTTCCGCGGTTTGGCTGAGTCAACGACTCAGTCAAAAAGCTGGTCAACGCCGCTTGGAAGCGGCGCATCTGCTCAACGGCGCGGCTCACAGCTCGGTCAGCAGCTTGGTCAGCCTGATGACGTGGTTGCCACGCGTCTGCCACGCGTCTGCCTGCCACGTGGCGCTGACGTGCGGATGACGTGTCGATGGCGTGGCGCCACGTGGTCATCTTCCTCCTTCCACCGCGCGTGATGGCACGTGCGTGCGTCTGAGATGACGCACCGGCTGCTGTTCGGCGCGTGATGGCGCGTGGTGTGTGTGGGGTTTACTCGCTTTATTTGGGAGGTGCGTTCGGGCGCGTGTGAGCTTTTCTAGAGCTCTGCTTTGCAGTTCTGGAATCCTCTCGTTGAGACCTTGCTCCTGGTATGATCAAAACCAGATTCCAAGCAACTTGATTTCTGGGCAGTTTCGAAAAACACTCTGCTTTTGTTCCGAAACGCAACTGATTCGGCTTCGATACCACTTGTTAGGACTATTGGACACCAGAAATCAATTCCCCACAATAACACAAGAATATTTACGTGGTTCGGGAATTGCCTACGTCCACGGAGAGCGATATATTATCTGGAGAAAGATTACAGAACACTCTCACATAACACTCTCGCATACACTCTCACACTCAGTGTTCTCTCTGTGTTGCTGCCTATTTTCTCTCCTCTCAGCCTCTCCATTTACACACATAGATGGTAGGTGAGGAGAGCCAGCCTTCATCTTTTCCTTTCGGTGCTCGTCGAAATCCGTCCACCTCTGCGGCTTGCCAACCGACAAGACGCATTCCTTGACAAGCAATTCCATGCTTTCACATGCAGAAGTTGAATGGCCTTCTTCTGCGCTGGAGCTAACAATAATTGGAGTAATTAATTAGCATTTTGTGAGACCCATTTTCTATTCCATCCACAAACCTTGTAAATGGAATACAAAATGGGTCTACACCATTGATCTCCGTGGAACTAATGGTTTAGATGGTATGTGTAGCTTAGGATATAATTAGAACAAGTGATGTGTGGATTGAGAACAAAATTATAAAATCAGTTTCATAAGTGTGTGCATTGAAAAATTATGTACATAGAGATAAAGAGTTTGTGGAAATAGAATTTCCCGAAAGTTTGGTGGTGGGTTACCTTGCCACACCACGGTACTTAGAAACGCCGCTGGAAAATCCGCTGCTTTGGCACCGTAGGGAAGCCAAATACTCTTCCTTGGACTGCTTTTGCATTTCCCCAAGTTCCTTGGTGTATGTATCAATCTGTATTTTAAGCAAATATTTTATATTAAAAAAATAAATAAATTGTTAGTTGAAAATAATTCATGCATAACTGAAATTAAGTACAAACTTGCTTAGCAAAATTTAAAAAGATAGAAGTGTGACAAGGAAGAATAAAAATAGTACCGGAAAATTCAATGTAGTATCGGCGCCCCAATACTTAAGGGCCCCAAGATCGTAGTTATGAGCAGCTAAAGGAGTTAACTTGAACATAGATTCTGAAGTTGATGTGGACGCCTCCATCGTATTCTGTCTTTTTACTGAAAAAACCGAATGAAAAATCTGACCGTACGGAAGTGTCCGGAATACTCCAAATAGTCAAAAAATACTATTGGATCATCGAAAACGGACTCAGAATGGCTCTGATTAAGCCAAAACAGTTTTCACGGTTCAGATCAGCGGAATCTGGTGCTCTTGTGAAGCACCGGATGATTTCTGCGGTTTGGCTGAGTCAACGGCTCAGTCAAAAAGTCGGTCAATGTCGATTGGAAGCAGCGCGGCTGGTCAACGGCGCGACTCACAGCTCGGTCAGCGGCTTGGTTAGCCTGATGACGTGGCTGCCATGTGTCTGTCATGCGTCTGCTTGCCACGTGGTGCTGACGTGGCGCGGTCGTGGCGCTAACGTGTCGCTGACGTAGCGCCACGTGGTCGTCTTCCCCCATACGCCGCACGTGATGGCGCGTTCGTGCGTCTAAGATAACGCGCTGGCTGCTGTTCGGCGCGTGGTGTGCGTGGGGCTTACTCGCTTTACTTGAGAGCCATGTTCGGGCGCGTGTGAGCTCCTCTGGAGCTCTGCTTTGCAGTTCTGGACTCCTCTCGTTGAGACCTTGCTCCTGGTATGCTCAAAACCAAATTTCAAGCAACTTGATTTCTGGGCAGTTTCGAAAAACACTCTATTTTTTTTTCGAAACGCAACCGATTCGGCTTCGATAACACTTGTTAGGACTATTGAACACCAGAAATCAATTCCACACAATAACACAAGAATATTTACGTGGTTCGGCAATGGCCCACATCCACGGATTGCGATATATTATCCGGAGAAAGATTACAGAACTCTCTCACATAACGCTCTCACATACACTCTCACACTTGGTGTTCTCTCTGTGTTGCTGCCTATTTTGTCTCCTCTCAGCCTCTCCACTTATACACATAGATGGTAGGTGAGGAGAGGCAGCCTTCATCTTCTCCTTTCGGTGGTCGTCAAAATTCGTCCACCTTTGCGGCCTGCCAACCGAAAAGCCGCATTCCTTGACAAGCAATGCCATGCTTTCACATGGAGAAGTTGAATGGTCTTCTTATGAGCTGGAGCTAACAATAATTGGAGTAATTAAATAGCATTTTGTGAGACCCATTTTCTATTCCATGCACATACCTTGTAAATGGAATACAAAAAGGGTCTACACCATTGATCTCCGTGGAACTAATGGTTTAGATGGTATGTGTAGCTTAGGATATAATTTGAACAAGTGATGTGTGGATTGAGAACAAAATTATAAAATCAATTTCATAAGTGTGTGCATTGAAAAAT